CCCAGACTGCGAGAGGGCACAGGCCGGGCTGGGGGACCCCCCTCCCCCGCCCCCCGAGTGCACAAATTTTTGTGCACCGGGCCTCTAGTGTTATAATAAATACTTCTTCACGGAATTTTTAAGATGATGACATTATCCTTATATATATTCAATTACAAAATACTTTCAAAACTTTTCCATTAAAAATATCAAAAAAATCTATTTTCATTTGCCAGTTATACAAAAGTCTTCCAAATTCCTTTTGTTAATTGTAAGATAAATGGAGCAATAAATACATGAGAGATGTTATTTTAAAAATAACTTCTAAATTATGCAATTTAAATTTGAGAAGAATAGTATAATTAATATTCAAATGTACTTCTGTAAAGTATGAGAATATTATGAAATCTTTTTTTCTGATCGATATAAAATTTTTTAATTATAAAAGTCCCAATAACTTAATAAGACTCATAAAAAATTATATGCAAACAAAAACACACACAATTTTGGTGTTTTTTTTTTTAGAGGTGATCTTTATCATGGACCAGATCTTAAATAAACATGCAAACTTATTCTTGGTATGTCTTCTTTGAAGTGAAATAACTATAGAGTTACTGAAGGTAAACACTAATCATGCCATAGTGTGTCAGTTTTGGTGCACTATGTGAGTCTCTATTGTGTGTACAGTCTTTGTGTGTGTGTGTGTGTGTGTGTGTGTACGTGAGGGGGGGGTGAGCAAATGAAAGGTTAACAAAAAAAGGTTCTTTGGGATATTATTTTAGCAATATTGATACATTATTATAAAGGCCATACTTTATTCAGATTTCCCTTGTTTTTACCTAGTGTCCTTTCTCTGTTCCAGAAGACCATCCTAAATACTGTATTACATTTAGTCATCATGTCACATCTCTTCAGGCTTCTTTTGGCTGTAACATTTTCTCAGACTTTATTTTTGATTACCTTATTTTTTAGGAGTCCTGGTCAGTTATTTTGCAAAATATCCCTCAATGGGGATTTGTCTTATTTTTTCCTCAAGATTGTACTGGGATTAAATGTTTTGGGGAGAAAAATAACAGAGGTACATTCTCATCACATTGTATTAAGGGAATATACTACCAATACGACATATCTATGGATTTTAATTTTGACTACCTGGATATAAAGTCTCCCCCCCCAGCTTTTTTTGAAGAAAGTCACTGTGTGCAGATCATATTTAGGGAATGAGAACTTCTGTTCTATGCCTTTAGGGGCAAAGTATGTACATAGTATTTTTGGAATTTTTCTGCCCAAGAAATTTGTTTATTCTATCCCCAATTATTGATTTATCTTTTTAATAATTTATGTTTATCAGTAGTGGTGACTCATGGAAATTTATTTTATACTTTAGATGATAATCTAATAGTACCTCATTCTGTTGTTCAAATGCTCCAGGTTTAGTATTTGGAGTTTTTTCAGTTGGCTCATTTTGACATGCATTGCAGATTTTGTTTTCTGAGCACTTCCTTATTTTCTGGCACTATACAATGCTTTAGGATCTCCTGTGTATTGCCTGCCCCAATTCTAAAATCAGTCATTTCTCTAGGGAGCACTGTTTTACTTAATTGGAGAATGGTATTAGAAACTAAGATCTGATCTCTGGGTATACTCATTGTTCCTGGGGTGTCATTAATTCTTGGCCTCCTCAGCTGACAGAAAAAGTACATATATACAAATTCATGTTTATGCACATATCTATAAATATTTTGGGATGTAACTATTCATATCTGTATTAAGCTAAGCATGAATTTATACTGATGATTCCAATTCTCTTCCATTGCCACATGGATCATTCTATCCTTCTCTTGCTTATCTGTAACCTCCTACTCCAGCAGTGAGAAACCTGGCTCCCATCACTGCCTTTTCATTTACTTAATGATTCAATTCCAGTATATGTGTACAGTTGTTTTAAAAATTGTTAAACTATTAGAGTGCACAAATTTGTGTTGTTTCATTTGCCTTTAGTCTTACAGATTTCACTCATTTCCATAGTTACTGAGGTCAACACCTTTTCCCCATCCTCTTCAGTGAAGTCATTTAATACATACGTAATGCAGTTGGATTCTTTTGTCACATTCTTCATGCCATCCTACAGAGTTTCCCACACTTCCATACAATTTTTTAAAAATTTGTATACAGCCGAAACCGGTTTGGCTCAGTGGATAGAGCGTCGGCCTGCGGACTGAAGGGTCCCAGGTTCGATTCCGGTCAAGGGCATGTACCTGGGTTGCGGGCACATCCCCAGTAGATGCACAGGAGGCAGCTGATCGATGTTTCTCTCTCATCGATGTTTCTAACTCTCTATCTCTCTCCCTTCCTCTCTGTAAAAAATCAATAAAATATATTTTAAAAAAATTTGTATACATTAAAATTTGTACTTTGTTCTTTAAAGTCTTGACAAGAACATAGTGTCATATATCTAGCATTGTAGTGCCATTCAGAATAGATACAGGACACTAAAAAACCCTTAGTCAATGTGCCCCGCCCCCAACCCCAGACTTCTGAAAAACACTGTTCTGTTTAGTCTCTATAATTGTGCCTTTTCCAGATTATCATATAAGTAGATTCAGATATTATGTAGGCTTTTCAGACTGGCTTCTTTATCTTAGCCGGATGCTTTTTAAATGTATCCACCCAGGTGTGACTTGATGGTTTGTTTTTTATTGTGGGATAGTATCTCATTGTATAAATGTACCACAGTTTGCCTATACATTCACTTATTGAAAGACATCTTCATTGCTTCCACTTTAGGAAATTATGAAATTGTGAACAAAGCTGATATGAACATCTGTGTGTAGGTTTTCATGTAAACATAAGTTTATAAATCTGTGTATTTTCATCTGATAAAGGGTAATTTTTATATATGACAAAGTGTTATGAAAATATGCACTGTTGAGTCAATTTTGACAGCAATATTTAAAATGTATTATCATTTCATAAGTGTTTTATTGATTACTTCCAATCACTCCCAGTCTCTCTATAATATCTAATTTAAAAACTACTAAGTGATATATACAGTAATGTTTTCTAAATAATTTTATTTGATTGCTAGTAGAAATATATACATTAATAATTTTGGGCTTGACAATTACATCAGAAACATGAGTTGCTGCTAAGAAATACTCTTGGTAGGATAATTGTAAGTTTTAATCAGAAGATATATTTAAGATGAGCTTTTGAATATAAATAGCATATTCAGAATAGTTCTTACTGACAAACCTATGAGAAAAGTATCGAAACAGATATTGTTCAATATTTTTATAACTTAGACAAAGATTTTGGTTTTCAATAGGTGTGGAGTGTTAAAAATACTAAAATAAACAAAATATCCTTCCTTACACAGGTTTGCAGTGCCACAGATAGGTCAACAGTTTTTGACAATGAGACACATGCTGTAATAAAGGTAAGTAGGATATGTTACAGGAGTTTATAAGAAGGAATTAGCACTGGAAGAAATATTTGAATAGCATTCATATTAATCAGAAGTATATTGGGCAGGGAAATAAAAGAAAACAATGTGAGGAGTGAGTGGTAAAGGCATTCCAAACAGAAGTAACATACTTTGAAGTAAATGGTTTATTTGTAGAGTAACTAATCATTTTATATGACTACTAGAGGCCCGGTGCATGAAATGCATGAAATTCATGCAAGTGGTGGGAGGGGTGTGTGTGTGTGCCCCTCAGCCCAGCCTGCATTCTCTCCAATCTGGGGCCCCTTGAGGGATGTCCAGCCTGTTTAGGCCTGATCCCACAGGAATTAGGCCTAAACCGGTAGTCAGACATCCCTCTCGCAATCAGGTACTGCTAGCTCCTAACTGCTCACCTGCCTACCTGCCTGATTGCCCCTAACCACTCTGCCTTCCAGCCTGATTGCCCCCAACTGGCCCCCCCCACCAGCCTGGTCGCCCCCTAACCTCTTCCCTGCCAGCCTGTTCAACATCTAACTGCTCCCCTGCTGGCCCGATTGCCCCTAACTGCCCTTCCCTGCCAGCTTGGTTACCCCCCACAGCCCTCCCCTGCAGGCCTGATTGCCCCCAACTGCCCTCCCTTTCAGGCCTGGTCCCTCCCAACTGCCCTCCCCTGCTGGCCTGATCACCCACAACTGCCCTCCCCTGCCAGTCATCTTGTGTCCATATGGGAGCGGCCATCTTGTGTGTTCCTTCTGCTGCCTGCCAGGGCCTTCCTTCATTATTAGCTAGGATAACACAATGAGGTGAGGGAAGGTAATGAATGGCCTTATATAGTTTATGAAGGAACTAGAGGACCGGTACACAAAATTTGTGCACGGGTAGCATCCCTAGGCCTGGCTGGCAATCAGGGCCGATTGGGGCCTTCTGCTGCCTGCCAGGGCCTTCCTTCATTCTGTGCTGCTCCATAGTGGTGAGCAAACATCATAGCAAGTGGTTGAACTTCTGAGGGGACAATTTGCATGTTAGCCTTTTATTATATAGGATTTGTCTTTACTTTGTATTATGAACTATGGTGGAACAATAAATTTTATTTATTTGTTTTTGAAATATGAAAGGCTTCACCAATTAATTGGAATGCTGGGACATGCTTTTAGTAATTCTGTTGACATAATGTATCGTATTCTGGTTGGAAATTGTGTGGTTTTGCCATTTCTTTAATATTTTTGTTTGTATTATGTTTTATTTTATTTTACGTGACTTTTTCTCATCTTATATAATTCCTGATCTTTCTTTGTCTTTGTTCAGCTGTGCCCAAATTTAATATTATAAAAAACACACAACAACACTTTTTATAAATAAACAAACACCCTTTCTTGTTGGACAGACATCACATGTGTCACTTTTTCAGGTTAAAGAAATACTTTGTATCTGAAGTCCAAAAACTATATTAATTTATGAATCTTACAGCACAGCCACATTTTTGCATGACCTGAACTCCTCTGATTCTTCTCAGTTATTTCTGGACCAGTTAGACTTGGTCATAATGCCCCTCTTTGTTATGTAGATTTGGACCTGTGAAGCCACAAGGACTTTCTTATTTTATAGAAAACACAGTGTGAAAGGTGAAAGAGAATCAGTCACCAAATAAATGAGTCATTGATATGCAGCAGACTGAGGTTCCCTCATTGATCCACATCCTTAGAATGGTGCTTCCCAGGGGCAGAGTGGCTGTCTCCTCCATGGCACTGGCCTGAGGTGAAGAACGGTGAGAGGAGCTGTTCCAGAAACTTTGTTTGCTTTGTTAGTTAAAAAGTGCAGAGCAAACAGAGAACATCAGTTATGAGCTATGCACATGTTTTTAAAGTGCTAATTATAAAGCAGGGGGAAGGGAGAGGTGAACAGAATAATAACTCACAGTGAAGCCAATGTGGTTTTTGTAAAGATTACTGTATTATAAACAAAGTTATATCTGATGACATGCTTTGGTAAGAAGATTGCTTTGTTTTATAGAGAGATAAATGTTTTTTATCTGTGAATTATGAGTATTAAACATGACTTCTGAAACAGCTGAGCTCTACATTTTGGACAATTTAAGTTCAACAAATATGTGTTGGTTTTTTTTCCCCAAGGAAAAAAAATAAAACATGCCCCCAAAACCAAGCCCTAAACATGTTTGGATAGCAACTGAGAACATAAATAATCTAACTTCAAAAAGTAAATTCCTTCTCACTCAGGATATTATTATTAACAATTGAAACTATGCAGCTCCCAGTGGGCATTATTATAACTTACTTAGAAAGTACATGTGAAATAGATGTTTGCTCTCTACAAGTAAGAAGCAATAAATTGATGCCTGATGAGGGTCAATGGGCAATGTATCCACTTCTGAGAGGCAGTAAACACTAAAAAATGGCACAATTAAGAAAAAAGTTTTCTTTTTTTTTTCTGATCCATGAAATGATTACAAAAAATTTTCTGGAAAGGGAAATGGCTTAATTTTAACAACCCTCGAGTAGAAAACAGCGTTTAAGGATGCCCTGACTGGATAGAATTACAGGGATAACATTTTCTCAAGAACAAATTGAAGTTTTGTAACTGGCACAAGTAGACAGCTCAGGAGGGGTGTAGTTTTGTTCTTGAGCAGAAATGTGTGTATGAGGCTAGTTTGTAGAAACAGGCTCTGCTGGCATTTAAATTTCTTTCTACCTGTGAGAGATGTCCAAGGTACACACTGAGAGCAGGATCATGTTTCCTTCCTGCTGGGCTTATTTCATACACAGGGAAGTGCTTTAAACACTCCTGTGCGGGTGGCGGTAAGGAGTGACCTCCTTCCTAGCTTTAGTTCAGATTTAGAAAGGAAAGTGATTTTAAGCTTTGGTGTCAAAAAGCATGTGTTTTGTGATAATACTTTACAAAAAAGAATGCCCTACATATATGCTATAACAAGGAAGGAAAATCACTTTGTTTCTTGATTACTAACTTTATGTCTTAAGTTTAGAGCTACCTATAAAGGGTTAAAGTACACACACGCATGCACACACACACACACACACACATACAGATATATACAGATTATATATATATATATAGTAATTAAGAAAAACAGGAAAGAATAGACAAATCACCCATAGTTCCATTATCCTAAGCCAACAACCTTCATAGACATTTACCTTTTATAGCTTAAAGACTTAAACCATGAGTGGCAAAGGCATTCCAAACAGAAGTAACATATTTTAAAATAAATGGTTTATTTGGAGATTAACTAATCATTTGATATGACTCTAGCACAATGATGTGAGATTAGAAAAAAAAGAATGAGGGAAGGTAATGAAAGATCTTCTATATTTACTGTATTTTTAATAAAACTCCACATTTTTAGCTTTCAAAGCATTTCTGCTTTCTTCATGTTACAAAATTGGCATTGTACATATTTTAAATACAGATTTTAGTAGTAATTTAATAACTAATTGACTCTTCATTTGCTAAAGTAGATCTATCATTTTAGTTATAGAACTCTGCACTTTAAATAAGATAAATTATCATGTCAGATAAACTCTTTTTCAAAACTAAGAATGGAAGTAAAATTCTAATTCAGTGTATACCGAATAATGACTAAACTTAATGAAGGTGTGCTGTGGTATAATTACATCTAATTTGTTCAAAGGGCAATGTTATTCTATGAAAGCTATAAACATCAAGGTAATTTTTCCTTTTTTATCGATCAAAATTATAAATGTGTTTCCAATAATTTTGGAGCTTTTAAAAATTACATGAGAAAATTTGCTATCTATTATATCTAGTACATTTTGTCAAATTCACAAAACCTTTTAATGTCATGTTAACCAAGAGCAAAGCACACAGAATGCATAAGACATATCTTTTGATATTTTTAAATAGAGAGATATACAAAATGTCCATGAAGCATGGCTGGTTTATGTACTCTAGTCACACAATCTAAAATATCTTTAGTAACTATAATGCAAACATAATCCAATTTTGAAAGTACATTTAATGAAGCAAATAGACAACATGTCAAAATTAAAGTGTTTCATTTGTTGTGTTTATTCTATTCTGAGTTATTAAAATACCAGTAGAAAGGATTAATGTCTTATTTTATATGATTTTATTTATTATTACTTTTTCTCTTTGTTTCCCTCATCTTCTTCCTCTGCTTCAGAAGTTGATTTTAGTTGCTATCTTGAGACATTTGAAACTTTCTTTAGGCTTCAAATGCAGCAACTTTCATACAATCTTAATTGCCTGCCTTACTATTTAAAGTCTGATTCTAAATACAACTTAAATTGTTTTGCACTGGAATACATTTTCCTTCCTAATAGATTGGTCTGGATGTGTAGCATTGCTATGAGGCATAAATTCTGAACTGAATAGAAAGAACCTATGATAGTTTGAGGCAATGGATTCCTTCTTTCTTTTTCTTTCTTTCTTTCTTTCTTTCTTTCTTTCTTTCTTTCTTTCTTTCTTTCTTTCTTTCTTTCTTTCTTTCTTTCTTTCTTTCTTTCTTTCTTTCTTTCTTTCTTTCTTTCCTTCCTTCCATCCTTCCTTCTCCTTCCTTCTCTCCCTCTCTCTCTCTCTCTCTCTCTCTCTCTCAAAACACACTGCGATAGGCCTACATCCCACCTCCTCATTAACATACAATTTTTTAAGAGTATGGGGAACTAGAACACTTGAGGAAATCACTGTTTGTTTATTTTTAAGGGAAGCGATATGAATTTATAGTGAGACATTAAAAGAACAGAGCATATTAGTTTTACCATTATATTTTATATAACTGTTCTCTGAATCTTTTTAAATGGTAAAATGTATGTGTTTTACCCTCTTTGTGCATTCCCATCTTGTGATGAAATATAGGCAAAGTAATTAACATATAATAAAATTTTCCATCTATTTTTCACACACACACACACACACACACTCTGTATAATAAAGAGGTAATATGCAAATTAACCTCATGCCCTCACAAGATAACTGCCTAC